TAGCCCTTGGCCGCGTAGCCGCGAGCCACGAGGGAGCTGGGCTTGCTCGCGTCGAAGAGGGCCTGCCACGAGCCGTGCGGCGGCTTGGAGTTGATGTCCTTTCGCGCGACGCGCCGCTCAGCCGTCGACGCCGCCGCCGTCGCGAGCGCGCGGAGCACCTCGATGCCGTGCTTGAGGAGCGGCAGCGGCACGCCGTCCTCGAGGTCATCGGTCCGCGGCCGCGACGTGTCCCGTGCCACCTCCTCGCTCCCGCCGGAAGCGGTCCTGGCCCGTCGCATAGCCTGCGCTATTTGGCCTTCATGCCGGCACCTTGACGAGATGTTGACTTTCGGAGAGTCAGGTAGAGTCAGGTCCGGCTATCGACGCGGGGTCATTCCCACTTAAATGGCCACCGACACCCCGCCGACGGACGCCGGCGAGCGTCGTCGCTCGGTTGTCCGGTCGTCCCCGGAGGTACCGTTTTCGGGGTTTTATTCGCGCGCGAACGCGGCCGCGGAGCGACGCGCGGCCGCCGCGCGGAACGCGATCATCGAGTGGTCGGATTGGACATCGGATTCCCATCCGACGCGTCGGACTCGTCTTAGAACGCGTCACTACGGGTGGTTTCTACGGAAGCCACGCTACTGGGGGACCCTCCGCAGAGCCGGAGCCTCCAGGTGCTGGTTCAGGAATAGACTAGACCTCGAACTGATTGAATACACATATAATGAACCTCAAATGAACCTCAAATTATTCCAAAGGCCACAAGTTGACAGGCAGTCACAAATAGAGCTTTGATTGTGAGCTTCGGCGCAGCGTCAAGTACCCAGACGTGGAACGTAGACTCATCGTTGCAGTTGTCCGTATAGCAGCAAGTCGCATTGCACTTTTTGAAGTAGTCGCTCGCCTGGAAGTACCATGGCATGTTTCGACACCACGGCTCGAGGTTCTGCTGCGAGCAGAGATCTCTCACCCCACATGTTGAGTACCTACTGTGACCACTTGGACGGTATGGACAGAGACTCTGAAACATGCTTAACGGAAAGTTGTTGTCGTCTTTTCATGGTACTGTACGTCACGCTCATGCAGGCATCGTAGGAGGTCGGGCAAGTGTAATTTCGCTCGATTCCACTGTCATCCTCGTCGGGGTACCCTTGAAGCTACACGATGTTCAGCTTCGTCCCGCGTTGCGATCTACATAACACGGGCGCTGGACATCACTTCCATGTTTTTGTTGTAATCATAGCCCTGCGCCGGGGATTACTGCCGCACGCAGCACACAAAGGGGAAGGTAGACCTGATAACAGGAGATGCCCATCACAACCGTCGTCATACCGACGAGGCACAGGCGTTGAAGCGGGACTCTCATTATGCCTCGTTAGATATGTGTCGATCTATATCCTTTGAACACTTCGCTGAGCCTGGTGCTACCGGAGGATTACCGGTGACCTGGCACGTCGCTGTGACGCTACCCAGACAGGAGCAAAAGGGCGCTACTATTGTATACACAGGACGCCAGGGGCACTTCCCCTGAACGGCCTCTCCAGCCCCGTCAGCGGCTTCCCAACGGACGGTCCCCAGGGGCAAGTCCGGCCTCAACGTCACGGTGGCCAAAGGTACCTACCGCTCCCCGGCCGCTCCCAAGCACGGCCAGCATTGCAGAACAAAGCCGCGCAGCGAAGCGACACGAAACGCCGCCGAACAGCTGCGTTGCTGTTAAACGGGCCTATCACGGCTATAGCAATGTTGCTTTTGGTATTACAAGACCCCGTGAATTACCTGAATGTCGCATTTCCGGCAGCAGGAGTTCTTGATTTTTACCAAGTTACACCTCAGTGATGCAGTCATTGTACAGCCGAAGTGAACGAATTTCAGCAGTCGGTACGGTTACTCAGTCTACTCTGCGTCACCCGCCAAGCTGGTTCTTTCTGACTTTTTAACGAGGACGTTAAGAATCAAGTATGGGGGCTTTGTGGCGGGAGACTGGACTGAGGTATCTTGACTGGCTTAGCTTGAAGTTGGCAGTGCAGTGGGCTTGTATCTAGAGTCTGGCTTTAGGATAGTCACAGCGAGCGACGAAGGATATATATCTTGATTTCCATGACGTTGCTCCTTTTCTTTCTTACTCACTTAACTCCAGCGATTGAGGACAGAGAGCCCCGATCCGAGATTAGTCTACCTGCTTGAGTAGGTAGTCTACTAACTAATCATTACCATACCCTAGTCAGGAGTCAGGCTGAGGGCAAATTACCACCATAAGATGCAACAAGAACCAAAGGAATCGGTGGCCATGGCGCCGAGAACGAGCATGCCAAAGTAGCTCCTCACCATTGCCAGAGCCCTCTTTGCCATCGATTTTCCCAAGATACAGGTCCGCCACTCGAGTGCGCATTCAACACGCCCCCGCCTCAACTTACCCAATCAATTTGTGGCTGGGTTGTTTAAGATCCCCGATCGAACACCGCGGATCGGATTCGAGAAAATCGATGGTAAAGAGGGCTTTGGCAGTGGTGATGGGCACCTTTGGCAAGCTCTATCTCGGCGCCATGACCACCGATTTGCAAAATTCTTGTTGCTTCTGAAAGCCGGCACCGCCGTCTTGCGCGCAGAGCCACTAACTCAAAAACTTCAAGAGCAACACAAATCCGCCTTTTTATTCAACCAGCCACATTTCTTGTTTGCTAAAAGCGTACAAAATTTAATGACAACCCCGTCGGAGCGCAATCAGGCTGTGGCACACTGCGTAGCGATGATGAGGCTTTCAGGTTTCCAAAAGTTTAGTGGCTCGGAGCCAAAGGTCAAAATTTACCCTGCGCGCTGGTCGGGAATCCCGACCAACGCTTTTGGGCTGTGAGCTGCATCTCAGCCGCATTGGATTTCGTCAGGGGTGTGTTGGCGCATAATGGAGAAGAACGCCTCGAGGTTTAGAAAGTACGAGCCAATGAGCAAGCATCCCGAATTCCAGCATCGTCACCGCTCCTGCTTCAACGACGGGTCCTATAGATACGAAGGTCGGCAACATCAACGCCGCTTCGGCTCAAGCGAACGTTTCGACGCTATACAAGGTCGGCACACCTTCCGGCACCATGGATGCGAGCGACGAAGTCGGTCTCGGGAGCGACCACCTGAATTTGTTCCCGGCTGTGATCGTAATCGCATTCGCGAATACACGCTTGATCGGGTGTCCGACCTTCAGTGTGCTGGCTCCAATGCGGAGTTTATCACTCGGAACCAGCGCATCATGGCCGCTCGGGACGGAGCATCGATTCTCTCAATCGTATCGAACGAGGCGATGAATGGCGTGAACACGAGCACTGCAGTGTCTCAGCTTGCGAAGCGGGCCAAGCAGCGGATGCCACTACCACACCAACGAGACCCGGCGTGGGCCGCGCTGGGGCATCTCGCGTCACGACACGCATCTACGTTTGAGGCGCGGCACGCGTCAAACGCGCTCCACGGCTATGGCGTGTCCTTTCAGCGTCCAATGAGCCTACACCAAGGCTCACTTCCTTTTTAGCTTTTTTTTACCTCATCGCATAGTGCGGGCTTTGAGTCTATTAGTCCATTCTCTCTCATTCGAAAGAGCTCGTACGCTTCGTCAGGACCGCGAGGGATCACAGGGCTCCCTTGGCGGATGCTCCGTATCCACGGTCGTTTCATGTAGGTGCTCATCAAGCATGGTTGCGTGGGTGCACGGGACGTGCCCATTGGGTCGCTGGTCGACGCGATCATTCGGACAGTGCGAAAGTTATCGTCGCAGGGAGTGGCGAACGCGCTTTGTGGCCTCGCGCACCTCGGTGGCGGTCGCGACGTGCCAGAGTGCGTCGCCGCGCTCGACATCGCGGCGGAACGCGAAGCCCCCCAAATGACGGCGCAGGGCGCGTCCAATACGATCTGGGCCTACGCTATGCTTCGCACGGCACCAAGTGCACCGACCTGGAGCGCTCTCGCAGCCGCTGTCTGCCGTGAGGCGCGTCGTATGGATGCGGCCGGCGTCGCCTATGCGGTCTGGGCCACGGCGGCCCTTGACATAGACAGCGACCTAGGGCCTGATGTCCACCGGAGCCTCGATGTTGCCGCGGCGCGCGAGGCATGTCGCATGGACGCGGCTGCTCTCGCAAATACCCTGTGGGCCTTTGGTAGCGGGCGCCTTGGCGATGGTGGTGAAGACCGACGACGCGCCGAGCGTGCCCTCGTCGACGCCCTTGACCCTGAGGCGCGTCGACTCAACGCAGAGGGCCTCCCCAAGGTGCTCCGCGCCCTCGCCAACCTCCGCGTCCGACCCAATCGCGCCCTCGAGGGTCTTCTCGACGGCGCTCTTCTCCGTGAGGTCAGGTGGCTTGACATCAGGGGACTCTTGGACGTCCTCGACTCAATTGGTTCGCTTGGACTCTGTGTTTCGAGATCCACTTCGGAAAGTTTGTGGTTGTCCCGTGACCGACTGTCAGGCAGCAGGTTCCACCAAGGTTCCTAGCCAGAGCCAAGCCAAAAACAATCACAGGATGGACGGACACGCCCATAGGCCAAACTCAGAGGGCGGGGTGTGTATTTACTTCGTGGCCGCTTGTATCCCGTCGTTGCGCGATCGTTTCAGTAAAAGTCGCTGCTGCTGTCGCGTCCCTGCGCTTCGGAAACCTCGAGGTGCACTTCGGAAAGTTGTATGGCTGTCTAGTGGCCGATTGTCGGGCCACGGGCCCACCAAGTTTTCCTAGCCCGGGAGCGTACGTGTAGTCCCAGGAAGACGCCGGAATTGCCGATTTTAGAAAATAATAATGGCAGGTGCGTCTGCGGCGACTTGCCGTGCCGGGGTAATACGGGGACACTGAAAACCCAGGATGTTACCGCCGTCGAGCCGAGCTCCGAGACTGCTTACCCCCCGTCTACTTCGCCCGTGAAGGCTCTACAGGCCACCATGCGGCTCCCTCCACGTTAAATAACCAATAATAATAATAATAATATGATACTTCCAGAGAAATCCTTTCGCGGTGGTACGCGTTAGACTGCACAACTGCCTGACTGGCATGTCCTTCGAGGAGGCGAAACAGTACCTGCGGCAGGAGGACGAAGATGGCAACTCCTTGTACGAGCACCTGTCGCGTGTGTTACTGAAAGTCATCGTTGAGAAGCCGCAGAATGCAAACGCCATGTTCGAGCAATTGTCTCAAGAGCTGCGTGGGGCGACGCAGGTGAAACCAACGCTGCCGACGGAAGGTGAGCCTGAGATAGCCAAGCCGGAGAAAAAGTCACAACTCGACTGGTGCGGCGCTGTATCAAACCTCTATGCTCCCACAGAGGGCGACGCGACTGAGATCACTTACCCTGACCTGATGACCGAGGCGAACGTGTACGAGTGGGCGGGAATCAACTTCGGAAAGATGGAGACCTATCGTCTCTACCTAGCCATCAAACAGAAGGCAGTAGTCGAAGCGCGGAGCCTTCGCTTCTGGGGAAAGATCACGGGCCGGAGCGGTGACTACTTTGTCGTGCAGGGTGACAATCCCAATCCCCCATCAGCAGAGGAGATAAAGACAGTCGAGGGAGCTGAAGGCGCGAACAAGTACGCTTTCTGGGTCTGCACGCATGCGGGCGGTACGTGGACCAAGCTTCCGGATACCACGCCAGAGGCAATTGTGGTTGCACGACAGATCAAACGATTCTTCACGGGAGACCTCGATGCACCCGTCCCATCCTACCCGCCTTTCCCAGGATGCACAGAGGCGCACCTCCTCCGGGCTCAGATCGCCATGATCACAAGCGAGTGCAGCATCTCGCCCGGCGGTTTCTACGCAGAGGACGACGAGGCCGAGGAGGGCATCAAGGCCATTAAGAAGGTAGAGGAGATGGAAGATTTCAAGTCCGCCGAGGACCTCAAGGACGCCAGCAATTGGGTCCACCACGAGGTCCCTATCAACGTCAACGGGCGTTGCAACCAGCCTCCGGTGAACGAGGAAGAGGAGGAAGGGGCTGAGCCGGCAGACGAGCTTCCCGACCTGCCGCTTCTTGGTGCCATTGCTGAAGATGAGATTACCGACGGTCCCGCGTGGTCAATCTCAGTTTGTCCCAGTGGCGCAGGTGAGTCGCCCGACTCGGCTGTCGTCGCCAAGAGCCTCAAATGGCCTGGCGCCGTTGCTGCTGCGTTCGGTAATAAATTCATAAACGTGTACTGCGGTTTTGGCTTTGCTTCATCGCGCGGCGTGTCTTACGAACCGCCCAGGGTACCCCCGATTCAGAAGGAATGGGCCCCGACGGAGGAAGATGACAAGGGCCTCATTGAAGATGAAGACAAGATTACGCAGCCTGTCGTGGAAGAGGAGGAGGAGGAGGATGGCTAAGTAGCGACAGTTTCCTATTGGACTGCTTCGACTCGACTTCCACGACCTCTGGAATTTCAACCACACAGCCGTGTATTCAAAGCGCGACGGCCGCATGCAGCTACGACTCTGAAGAAACCAGTTCTCAAGCAATTGTCTCAAGCACATCTGTGTCAACGTGAATACACTGTTATTTCAAGCAAGCGAAACAGCAGCCTCCTACCCACGACCATATTCAGTGAAAATTAAGCAATGATGCTGTGGTGTCGGGAGTCCTCTTTTTGGTTTCAGTCCGCTTGGTCCACAACATCCCGGCGGCTTGTTTTGTTAGGAAAGTCGGATCAAACCACCACCGCCAGCCGCTGCCCCCCGGGAACTCCGCGGTGTCGAGTTTGCGCCTGCCTGCCCCCTGACTTGGCGCCCCCACTAGGCCCGCCTAGGTGGCTCGTGACCTGGCGCTATCTCTGTCGGGGGAGCCCGTAGCAGTGCGCAAAACAAACCCCTGAAACAAAACGCCTGGGGGTTTTGTATCTTGAAGTTCAGAGCTCTTGGTTAGTATGCCAAGTTCAACATAAAGGTTGAAGTTAGGGGGTCGTAAGCCGCTCGAAAGTGGGATCATTTCGCCGGGGCTGGCGTTGTGAGTGCGGTAGCGTCGTACATTTGCGACACTCAGGCGTGAGGATCGTTTTTCGCAAAAAGTTGACTTTCGACCCGCACTAGACCCGCGCGCGTGCGCGCGCGCGGCAGTGAAGTGATCAAAACTCAGATTCTATTGGCGTGGATTTTTTTTCGACGCGCGGTCGACGCACAGCCTCTACGGAGGACTAATGAATCCCGCTGCGCCGGGCCCAGCATAGTTAATTAATAATTAATTACTTAGGACCGTCCTTGTAAGGATTAGGACTGCACATGTGTCGAAGGCAGTGGCAGTTGATATAGGGTACTTCCCGCGATGGTTGTGGTTGCTGTTGGAGGAGGAAAATGGTGGCAAGAAAGAGCAGCTGAAATATTTGGTTAAAAGGACCGAGCAGAGTGTCGTGAGCCTCGTGCGTGAGGTGCAGGCCCGGGTACGGCGGCATGCAGTGTTGTTCTAGTAGGCCCCGCGGGCCGCGGCCCGCGGCCGCCGCCGCCGGCAGAACCCCGCCCAGATCCCCCCCCCCCTGCGCCGGACGGGGCCCCAGGGAACCCGAAACGCGACCCGAAACGCCCCCGACAATTTTGGGTCGGCGGCTGGGGGCTTTACTCAGGCGCCGGGGGGGTGGGTGGGGTCCAAACTAGAAAGCGTCGGATTTCCCGCGTTCGGGTCTTAAGTGCCCCAGGTGCACCAATGGCGCGAGAAATGTGCGCGCCATGCGCAGTCCTAGCGACCTTGCACGTGGGGGCGCGTGCGAGGAAGAGCCGCGCCACCTAACTTTCGGAAAGTAACTTGGCTCAGTGACCGGAGAGTTCACTCGAGTCACGCATCTGTATCGGCTTCTGGCTTCAGGGAAGTTTGTCGGGTAGTGGCGCATCCACGGCAGGCGGCGTCGCCGTGAAATCGATGTCGAGCAGACAAGGCTCGGCCGTGGTGGCTGGCGGTGGCTGCAGGATAAGACTGGCTGCCTTGGGTCCCCGGGAAAGGGCATCGTCTTCGTCGTCGTCGAGGTCGAGGGGGAGGAGATTCTGCGGTGAAGGCGGCTTGGGAAGGCCTGGTGCTTCGTACACCCTCGGTTTGGCCTCGCCCTGCAACGCTTCGTGGAGGTCGTCGTTCACCTTCAGGCAAGATGTGAGGGTCTCGTCGCCGAATGCGCCTGCAATTATTAGCGTACATTCCAGTACTGCAGATGGTGGCAAAACTCAGGGAGGGGCGGATAGGTTTGTAATCTCTGACTCATCGGCGCACCAGAGAGGCCAGATTCGACAAGTATTGCCAGGCGTGGGCGACAAGCCTCGAGAAATCCGACAACCTCGGCGAGTGCATCATCGTGGTCAATGCCAGGGCTGTTGGGGACCATCTCCTTGCAGAGTCGAATCTTTTCTGCCACGATCTCTACGTCTGCACGGACCTTGGCGAGGGCGTTGGCACGATCGAGGCTCCCGTCGGCAAGCGCAGCCGCATACACCGCATCATCCTGAACGACAGTCCCATCTTGGCGTGGCGGCGTAAACACAGGCGCGTTCTCCTCATTCCCTGTGGGAAATTCAAACCCCTTGACCTTGAGCGCTGTATACGTGTCCGCGAACGCAGGCAATGCGTCGCGCGACTCGAATGCGACGCCCCATTGCTGCACTAGTGCCAGAGCCTGCCTCTTGACCTCTTCACCACTGCCACCCTCGCAGAGTTTTGCTATTTCACTCAGGATCTGCTGCTGCCCCACGGCCGCGTGAACAGCTTCGCCGCAATTCTTCACGCACATCTCCAACAAGGTCAATGACAATGCCGTGACATGTGCGTCATTCTTGCCCAGGCGCTTCTTCACCGCGAATGCCATGGTGACCGCATCGGAAGGATTCCTCTCCAGAGCATCACAAATTTCGAGATTAACCCCGAAATCCACTAGGCCCATTCGCACGTCCGACGTCGCTGATTCTACGAGCAAGTCCATGATTCAGGAGTCGCCGAGGTTGGTGCGACGCGATTTTTGCGAAGCCCGCACCACAGACAGGCCAGAACTTGCCGAGGACGCCCTTCGGAGACACAAGATCACGCGCCGCAGCAGTCGATAGCAGAGTTTCGTTTTTTAGAACCCTTGGTCCGAGGAGGCCGTCTGCGACAGCCCCAGAGGACACGCGGCCCCTGGGGGTCTACCACCGGTGCCCGGGGCCGTAGGTGACCTAGGTCCGTCGCGCGAGGCAAAAAAACACGACGTTCGGGGACGTCGAGGGCGCGCAGCGGTCGCATTTGGCGTCGATCCGCGGATTTGATGATGTTCGGGACGTCGGCGAGCCAGCCGTTCGTTGCGGCAACGTGTCGTGCCGCGACAAAACGCTGTGGAGCCACGCAGACCTACCCGATGGACGCCTCGACGCAGCGGGCCGCGCCCCAGGGGGCGAGATCGCGACCGCACGCGTGCTCGAATCGACGTCTTCGCGGGCCCGACCCGCCGCCGCCGGTTCGCGTACTTGTCGCGGCCGAGGCGTCGAGCGGGGCGGCGAACGAGGGGTCTCGGGGGATCATCGTTCGAACCGGCGCCGGCCCGGGCCGCGCGGCCCGCCGGCGGCCGGAGGCGCTCGCGCTCTCGGGCCGCCCGCCCGGCGGCCGTCTCGCGCGCGCGCGCACCTATTTTCGCGGCGACGGGGGTCGAGAGGCTCGGGTACCGGTGGGACTGCGCGGACAAGTGGTCCGAGGCGAGCGAGATGACGACGGCGGCCGCGCGGGACCGTTCGAGCGACTGCGCGAATCGGGGCGGCGGCCGGTTCGCGCGAGAGCCGGCGTCGATGCGGACGTCGAAGGTCCTACGATGCGGAGCCGATCGGTTGCATGTGTGGGGCGAGTCGCCCTGGATCGCGAAGACGCCGACGGCCGCCGCGTGGGGCTCTTCCGAGCCCCGGACCGGAGGCGCGCGACGACGGCCTTTGCGCGGCCCCGCGGGCCCTCAAGAGGGCCGACGACGCTTTCTGACGTGCGGCGACATCAAGCGCACGGTCTGCCGCAAGAAGGGCTGCATCGCCGAGCGCAACGACGCCGCGCCCGCCGAGACCGAGGAGGCATAGGGAGGATAGCATAGTCCCGAGTTAGGGTAGCATAGCCCAAGGGGCGGAATGTAGGCTCCATAGATAGCTGGCCTATCGCCAAGCGCACTTTGATTGTGCTTAATCACACTCGCGTTCAGACCTCGATAGTCCCCGTTTATCATGGTAGCTCCGAACCTCACAGTGTGAGAAACGAATAATATAAACGAGTTTTCCCACGGCCGTTGGGGGGAAGTGTCACTGCACATTGAAGATATATCATCCGGTTCCCGACCCGAACCAACGGCCCCAACCTCTCAAAACGCCTCAGGTGATATGTTTAGCGCGCTAACTTGAGAGCGCGGCCTGGCCGGGGCCATCATGATAAGTCACCAATTTTGCCTCAATTTGGTTCCCGGCGTGACCCCCGCGCGCGCGGTGGACGGAGGACCTCTTTGAGGACCTCCCGTCGGGCGACCGCCGATGAATAATTAATAATTCCTATGGCGCGCGCCAGTCGTTTCCCACACTGGAACCTCACCGTCGACCTCACACTCAAGGGCAGCCTCCCGGCTGCCTGCCCTTAGGTCCCCGGCTCGCCCCCGCCTCGCCCCTGGCCCGCCTCCGCCCCGCCGGGCACGTGGCAGAAGCCTTTCCCTTCAGACCTAAGCTAAGGCAATAGACTCCACATGAGGGCGTCACGGCCGCCAAAAAATACCCCCGGATGGTACTGTACTATATGTAGCTGAATGTAAGGCGCACGCCTAATAAATTTTTACAGCTGGAGTCCTGGGTCCTTTGACATCACTTCACATATCCGCGCTTCGTGCAATTTGGACCAAGAAAACATCAACTTTAGGATCAACATAGCGGAGCTGAAGAACAAAACCACAGGAGCCGCCGAGCCACCATCCCCGAGGGACCCCTCGCATCTGGGAGGACACCGAAGCTCGCGGGCGGGTGCGCCCGGGAAGTCGTCCTGTGGTCCTACTACGAAACCATGGGTTTCGAGGAGGTTGTAATTTGGACCACCCCAGCGGGATCGGCCTCCGCGGGCCCGCACTCGTCGGTAGCTGCGGCCTGGCGGGCATCGCAGAGTCATGGGTCATCGGCGCCGTCCGCGAGCTCGCCGTCGGAGCCGTCGCTAGCAGCGTCGGCCGAATCCTCAGCCGGTTGGCGGCGCCGCACTCCCCGTCGAAGTCGTGGAGCTTCGACGTGGCATTGTAGGCCCCGCGGGGCTCGATGACGAGCTTGGCGCCGCGCCGCGCGGCCCCGAGCGCGGCCGCCGGACCGTCCGTGATCGACTTCTGCTTCTTCTTCATGGGGCTCTTTGTCGGACTCTTTGGAGCGGGCGCAAGCGCGCGCGCGCGCGCTGCGCGTCTAGCAGCGCCCCGGCGCGGCGCCCGTCCCCCCGTCGTCGTCCCGCGGCGCGTCGTCCCCATCGACCCGCGGCGCCCCAACGCCGCGGCGCGTCGCCCCCGCATGCTCACCGCCAAGGCCGCGGCGCTGCCACCCGATGGGCAGCCCGAAATCGGTCCCTCCGAGACCAAATCCGACAGGGACTTCGAGCGCCGCGCCCCCAGGGAGTGCCCGGGGGCGCGCGACTGCGAACCCGCGCCGAAGGCGACCAAGAACCGGCCGCGAGACAGCCCTCAGAGGCGGACCATCGTGTGGCTCTCCCCATGGTCCAAATTACAAAGTGGTCCAAATTGCACGAAGCGCGGATAGGATCAAACACGCTTTGAGAAGTCAGCTTCACCAGTTTTGGCCCTCAGGTCGCTTGGTGAGCAGACGTTACTCTTCCATGGCCCGCTTCTACGGTGTGTCGGGTCCCATCTTCGGCGTTGCGTGCCTCGGTGAGGCGTCGACATCAACTTTGGAGGTGCCCTCCCACCGCATCATCTACTGCGGCGGCGGCGGCTCGAGTAAGACGGGCGTCGGAAACGCCATCGTCGCCGCGGACCTCGACGAGAGCGGGCTCTTGGAGCTGTGCAAGCTGGACACCGGCGACGAGCTCTGCTCTGGCGTCCAGGTGTTTCGCGGCTGCGCCGTGCTCGTCGCGGTGTTCGGCAAATCGTTCAGGCTCTGCGCGCTCGTATCGCTGGCGCCCGGGATGATCGCGGGGCCAAGAGAATCAAGCATCGTCGTCGTGTCCGAGGACTACGTCGCCGATTTCAAGGATTGTGATCCGAGCATCAATTGTGTGACTGTCCTCGACGAGCAAGCCGGCGAACTCATCGCCACCGGCGGCGAAGATGGCGTGCCGCGCATCTGGGTCGTCGAGCGTCGGGGCGGGGCCATCGCGGCGTGCGCAGCGCCTCGTTTCGCCTGTGTCCTCGCGACAACTTGCGGCGGTGGTCACGGCGCGCCCGTGACGGACTGCGCATTCTCGCCGAGCGGCCATCTCCTCGCGACGTCGTCGAAGGACGGCACCTGCAAGGTTTGGAGCGTCGGTACCGGCGCCTTGCTCTGTGTCGCTAACGCCGCGAACGCCATGCCACCGCCGCCAGCGTCACGGCACATCAAGCAACGCCGCAACTTCAACGCGAACAAGATCATTGTGCGCGGCTGCAAGTTCGTCGGAGATAGCGCGCTGTTGAGCGCCCAGCGGCGCTAGAACGCAAGACTATTCCTCGAGGTTATGCGAATCTTCTGAGCTTCTCCGTCCAAGTCTGTGATGAGAGAGGGCGCCATCCGGGCGAAATTTTATATCGGATGCGCGGCGTTTCCACGCAGGCGTCCATTCTGCGTCGCGTGGCGCAGCTCAGGCTGCCACATGGGACCTCGCCCCAACCAATGGCGACACTCAAGTCCTCGACGCGACGCTCCGAGTCTCGCAGCGTATTTCCAAGCACCCAGTCTCCGCGCTTTGTCTCCATGGCGATCATGTCGCCGTCGGAACCGTCGTGGTCGGCGTCGACGCCGTAGTTTCGAGCGCGCTGAGGCATCACTCCGAACATAGGTCGAGGGTGAGGTTGCCTTCTTCGACGCCGACACTCTAGCGCCTCGCGCCAGTAGCCAAGTCCACGATCTTCCCGTCACTGCTCTCGTGTGGGCAACGGCCAAGACGTTACCCACCATACCACCGAGGGTACTTTCTGCATCCGCCGACTACAAGATTGTCGCCACGCCAGACGCTGTGGCGTCCATATTTACCCCACTCTGCCTTTCACTATTCTTCGCCGCGATCGTCGCCCTCGCTGCGGTCCTGTTCCAGCTCCGTCTCGTGTGAGGAAGCACTTAAGACCTTCGCGGTTTTTGAGAAAGACCCTACGCCGACTAAACTTGTTCGGCCGACGGGAGGGGGTGGGGGCCGGGTGACACCTGCGACTAAGCGTCTGCGAGGAGGGGCTGTGAAAATACTCCAAGTCGAAACCAATGTGGATGGACCGACAGCAGCGTTTTTAACGGCACGTTTGGCAGCTTAGGGCGGTCCAAATGCGGCTGTGACAAGCCTGGGGGCGGAGAGGCTGCGAGATGCGCTAAGCCAGACTGCACGAGCGGGCGCGGTCTTTGATTGCGAGATCGGAGACTCATGCTCTCTGATTGGGCGAAGCGCACAGTTGGCTAATCAGGACTAGCATATATATGTAGCGACACCCGCGGCCTACGACGACGTCGGCGCGGATCTCGGGTTTCCCGCGCTCGGAAGTGCGGCCGGCTCCGGCGCGCCCAACACGATTTCGCCGTAGGCATTTTTGCGGCGTATACACGCGATGCAGGCTGCCCTCGATGGACACGCGACACACGGGACATCGCTCGCACGCCTTCGCAGGCCCCACCTATCGCGCGTGACGTTCCCCGCCGAAAGAAAAGGATATCTCGAAAAAGGGCGCTGGCGCGAGACTATGAGGTGGCCGCCGGTAAAAAAGACGATTTCACGCCGACGGCGAGGAGTGATGCAAAAAATATGGCGCCGCGGAGCGGCTGGATGCCAGGATGCGCGCCGCATGCAATGTAAATGACTGAGGGAGCGAGAAATCCGAGGATAACGAAATGTCGCCTCTTGCTCTGCGGCGAGGGCAGACATGCGGCACCGGGCTTGAGGTGCGTAT